AAGTGTGGCTCAGTTGGTTGAACATCGTCCTGTGCACCTAAAGGTTGCTGGTTCAATTCCCAGTCAGGACACATGCCCAGGTTGTGGGTTTGATCCCTGGTCAGGGTGCCTGCGGGAGGCAACCAATTGATGTGTCTCTCTCACATCGATGTTTCTCTTTCTGTATCTCTCCCCCTCCCTTCCATTCTCTCCAAAAATCAATTTTAAAAATCCATGGGTGAGGGTTAACCAAAAGAAATGGTTTAGATAAGTTTTATGTTATGTGTACTTGATCATAGTTTTTAAAGAAGTGCCCATATAAGAGCTGAACAAAAAGGGGGGGAAGAAAAGAACAGAATAAAAGGGGGTAGGGATAGGCATGATGGAATTTCCAGTTTATAAAAATCCCGTATGAAATGAGAAGCTCTCCAGTGAGGCCATCCTCCAAAGAGGCCACCACTCTTTCGGCTTCTGGGATATCTATGCAGAGTTTCTTGTGGAGGAAACACATCAACTCTGGCACACAAACTGTCCTTGCTCTGCCTTTTTAAAAGGTACTGCTTTGTTTTTATTGTAGCAATAAGACCATTTTAACCATCGTTATGTGTCCAATGCAGAGGCATTAAGAACATTCACAAAATGGGGCAGTCACCACCACCACCCCCGCCCGGGACTCTGACTCCATCCCAGATGAAACTGTCTCTATAAACCAGTGATGGCGAAGCATTTGAGCTCGGCGTGTCAGCATTTTGAAAAATCCTAACTTAACTCTGGTGCCGTGTCACATATAGAATTTTTTTTGATATTTGCAACCATAGTAAAACAAAGACATATTTTTGATATTTATTTTATATATTTAAATGCCATTTAACAAAGAAAAATCAACTGACCCTGGCTGGTGTGGCTCAGTTGGTTGGGCATCATCCTGTACACTGAAAGATTGCCAGTTTGATTCCTATTCAGGGCCCATGCCGGTTGCAGGCTCAATCCCTGGTAGGGGGAATGCAGGAGGTAACTGATAGGTGTTTCACTCTCACTTGGATGATTCTCTCCCTCCATCTCCCTTCCACTCCAAAATCAATAAAAATTTTTTAAAAGCATAAAGGCCTCCATGACTTGGCTCTGGTCTTATTTACATATCCTGATTCCTTTACTGCCTGTGTACTAAGCCACATACCTTCCTAGGGCCCTCAAAGTGACATCTTCCTCCATACTTTCTTTTTTTTTTTTTTTAAATATATATATTTTATTGATTTTTTACAGAGAGGAAGGGAGAGGGATAGAGAGTCA